TTTAGTATTGTGACAACCCTAGTTGCAACTATGAAAAACAACAAACAAGAGCAGCTAAAGTTTTTAGCTAACAGCTAACATTCGGACATAAACAATAAAACATAGAAAACCTCAAACCTAAACGACCAGATCTGTAATTGGTCACCTTTGTCCTTGCTGAGCGCCATGGCGACGGCGGCGTGGTCCTGGCTGAGCTCGGCCAGTAGGCCGGGGGAGATGGTGAGCAGATCGCAGCCGGCCAGAGCCTTCACCTGCCCCGAGTTCCTGAAGGAGGCCCCCATCACCACCGTGCTGTAGCCGAACTTCTTATAGTAGTTATAGATCTTAGTGACGCTGATCACACCTGGAGGGGGCAAAGAGGGAGAACAAAAAGAGAGAGAAAGTGTCAGAAATCAAATTAAATCAAATGTTGGAGAGAGAAAATATTACACACCAAAAAAGGCCAGTGGACATTTTTTATGCTCACTCAGGTTCAAGTGGGTTGCGTTTCCATTAAGCCTTTAAAGCCTGATCCAAGAAAAATAGGAAGAATATTGTATTTTTTAAGTATAAAGTCTTTCTTTGGCCCCTCAACAACATATGAATAAAAAAAAAAAAAAAGAATTTATTTTGATCAAATAGCCAAATAACCAGATCAAATATGACACATTTGGCATTATAGTGTTAACAACCAAAGAAACACATGATGACACAAAGTGATAAAACTGAGAAACGGCTTTTTGGAAAAGTAAAGCGTTAGAGCCTTTAAAGCAACTGAATACTATAAAAAAATAAATAAAAATAAAAATAATAATAAATAAAAAAAAGGAAGAAACAATTGAAAGGAACCCATACAATATATAAACTGAGGCCCAAATTTCCAATTCAATTATTTTATTTAATTGCTCATGACCATATACATGGTTTGGAGCACAAACCATGTATATGGAGCACCAGCCATTTATTTGGCAGCTAATGGGGTTCCTAATAAAACTAAACTAAACCTAACAAAAAACGACACTATTGAACATTAGTTGAAAATAAAATTGCCCCAAAATGCAAAACATGCCACACCAGTTGGAATCAGAGTCCGCCCCTCCACCCTTAAATCCAAACAGTTAAACGTTTGCATGATAACTATATTAAAGATGCTGTATAAAGGCTACTTTAAAGGAAATTTGAAAGACACGGCTAGACTTCAGGACTTCTCCTAGAGTTTGGATGGTTGATGTTGACAGAAAGGAGAATCCATCAACTCTGGTGGAAACATTCAGACGTCACTCTGCCGTATTGTTAATCTTTTTACCTCGGGGGGGGAAACTGAGCAGCTCCCATTCGAACAACGTCAAAAAAAGCTAAAAATAGCAGCCGTCAGTGTTGAATAATGTCAGTGTCTAACATATGAACACAACAGGTAATTAGAGGCATTGTTGGTTTAATTGGGGATGCTGTTATAGTTACAGGGGACGGTTTTCTGCCATTGTCCCAGTAAATGGGAACGGCCATCTTTACCACTTATTCAGTCAATATATTTTACTGTTAAGTACATCAAGATGCAGCACTTGCAAAATCTGATTAATATCCGAGTCACTGGAGCAAAAAAAAACTGAAAAAAAACAAAGAAAAAAAAAACATCTTTCATGGAATTTAATTGTCCTTAAATAAAAGAATCAATTAAAATTTGTCTTTGAAAAAAACAATCAAATAAGAATTGTCCTTAAATAAAATAATCAATTAAGAATTGTCCTTAAATAAAATAATCAATTAAGAATTGTCCTTAAATAAAATAATCAATTAAGAATTGTCCTTAAATAAAATAATCAATTAAGAATTGTCCTTAAATAAAATAATCAA